TTTTTTCCTTTGTTTCTTTTTAGGACAGGGTCTCCCTGTAGCCCCAGCTGGACTCAGACCTCAGAGATCCACCTGCCTCTGCCTCCCAAGTGCAAGCATTAAAGGCATGCTGCCACCACACCTGCCCAGATAACTTTTTTACCAGATAACTTTTTTAAAGGCCTACCTCAGCCTTAGTATGCTGACATTACTACATTTGACACCACACCCAGCACAAAAGCCACCGCATTCCTTACCCTTTAAGCTCCCCAAACATCCTGTGCTTTGTTGACAATCCCTGGCACACTCTTCTATGTATTCCAGTTGGGGATCATGTCTGTAGCTCTTGGGAACAAAGAAATAAGTCCACCAGAATCCTCCCCAGCACTTAGCTCTGTGCTTGCCTTGAGATGCTTCCTAATCACCCTGAAGCACTCCTGGGAGGTGATCAGAGGTTGGAGACCACATATGGAACAACCATGTTTTTGAATATGTAGGCTCCAGGCAACAAGAGAACAGTTACTTCTGTCCACTGCTTTAATAGGAAACCCTTTGTTTTCTCTAACTACTAGAGTTTTCCTTAAGTTGCTTCTGTGCCATTAGTTTGTTTGATTAAAACAAAAGGAAGGAAGAAGAGGGAAACCAGGCAGCCAGTCTCTGGTTTTCTCAAAAATGCATCCACACTTCAAATCTGGGCTTATGAACTTCCAAAGACTACATGGTAAATGAACTAAGGCCTCCTAAAGCTACCAGCTACAGTGTGTCCACAGTTTACCTAACAGATGCTGTTACCAATCTCTCCAGTATCCTCAGAGCTTTTTGAAAGCACAGTTCTTACAGTACCCCCCTCAAACTCTAGCACAGTGCTTAGAACACAGTAAACAGTACTGTTTGTTGATTAACAAATGAATTTGATGCTGTAATACAATCAGAACCCAGACATGGGGCTTTCATTCATCCCAGCTTGCTTTTTCCTCACCAGATCTTAACCTGTAGAGGCTGAACCTTGTAAGGCTGGCCCGGGGCAAAGACCAAGGGGGGAGGGGGGTTAATACAGGGCCAAGGAATGAAATTCACAGTTGGCAGGCTCTTTCTGGAGGAGGCTGGAGTGGATCAGATACAGAACACCTGGGCAAGCAGAAGGCTCTGTGAGTCCTACAACAGACCAGGCTATGTCTAAGCCATCCAAGTCTACATTTTCAGTAAAGTTCATGAACTGGCTCAGCCCTCTGAAAAAAGCAAAGTGACTGTGTAAGTTGGGGGGCCCTTCACTCCATGACTCCCGCCTGCCCCCTCCTGGCAGATTTTCCAGTTCTACCTGTTTAGCCCCATCCCCCATCTGCCCATGGCAAAGGACAGTCAAGCCTGCCAGCCCAGAACTCACTCCAGGGAATTGGATCAGACTTCTGGCCAGCCAGCTGCTTCCTCTAGTCCCACCCCAACATAGTAAAACAAATGACACAAGCTGTACTTTGGACAGAAACTCTGCTTATCAGGGAGTCCCAGGCAGATGAACACCAGAGTTTCAATGCCTGGAAAACCCTAATACACATTTACTCTTGCTGCTTCCCACAGCCTCCTCCCAATACTGAAAAACTTCCTTACTTGCATTTGCTTTGGTCACCTAGGTCATACCTGAGCCAGTCAAGAGAAAGCAGGTACAGTGTAGAGATCCCTAGGGTCTCCCCTCAAAGCCACAGAGGTGAAAAACAAGCCCCATTATTCCCTAATCTACCACACAAAATGAGAGTAGCACTTCATTTTGACATTGGGGGGGGGGGGGGTCCAGGCTGGTCTTACTCCATCTGTGTGTGGAGGCTGGGCAGATCCTTGACTACCGTCAAAGCCATAACCCGTAGTAAAACCAGCACTTGAAAAACCTCCAGGATACAGAGAGTAAAATAAATAAGATGCAATCTAAAGCATACAGTACGTCTCTTTTGTATAAGAAAAAGGAGAGAAAACAAATATACATTTGTATACACGTGTGTCTGCATAACAAACCACTAGAAAGATACATAAGAAAGTCTTGAGGTATAGTGAGGAGGGACAACAGCGTGGGAGTGAGATATCTCAAATCCAGTCAAGGAATGCATTCTGAATAAATAATTTTTAGAATCGTAACAGCTCTACTCTAAACAAGAAGTAGGCTGGCAACCCCAGACAAGCCCTGGTCACAAAGGCGCAGAAAGAGAATCATCACAGATCAGGTGATGGAATCAGCTACTGGAATCCTAGGGAGTCTCACTTCCTCCTAGCTGATGCCATTCACTAGTTTCTGCCTTCCAAAGAACAATTCTTTCCCCTGGAGTAGAGGAAGCAGTCAGTAGGCATGACTCACCAACCCACAGTGTAAAGTAAGGAAAGTCTGCCCCTGAACAGCACGTTAGAAATATTTAAAAGGGTTTGAGTCACAAACATCAGGAAGAAACACCAGGACTCAGAAACTGACCCAGACCCAGGGCAGTAGCACCCCTACCCTAGAAGTATGGGAACTCCACACTCAGGTAAGAGGGGACAGAGAAAAAAGCCAGCATTCCAACCAGGAATTACCTTTCTCCCCTCTGGGCATAACAAGTTGACCCATTCACTGGTTACTACCTGCAGTTGAATCTCTTATAAGTTCAGGTTCTCTAGGGAAGAGAAAGCAGCACTCTGGGTCACCAGCTTCAGTCTTCCCAAGCTCAGCTCTCACTATGTCTGCATATAACCATGCCCACTAAGTTCTGGCTGGAGCTGTCCCTGCACTTGGCTGGCTTGCTCCTATTATCTTGCCCTTTCTTCTTCCTCCCTGATGGCAGAGGCCACTGCAAGAAGCAAGGCTGGAGGAAGAGACATAGGAACAGTTGCTTATGTCCCTCCCAAAGAACCCCTACTTTCAAAAAAATGACTCTTGCCATTGGGAATTTCCTGGCTTCCTTTGACCTACTCTACAGAGGACAGCATTCTTTCACCCTCACAAAATCCAAAGGGGTAATAGCTGCCCAACAATAATCCCTTCATGTATATGTAATGTAGCTATTATCTCCATTGATCCTCACGGCAAGGACAGGATGAGTATTATTACTCCTGTTTTATGGTTAAAAAGACTGAGTTACTAACCTAAGGTCACAAGGCAGAAAAGGGAGCAAAGTTAGAACCCAGGTGAGGTGGCCAGGCACCCATTTCCATCCTCATTTGCACCAAGCAAATCACTCCCCATCCCTCAGGTCTACCTGGATTTAAAAGCCTCAAAGTTCATTACTCCATACCCCAGACTTGCTATTCCAGGATCTAGTGACCTGCTAGCCTAACTCAACACCACCTTGGGCTTCCTTTGAACCTCATTGCTTGTTCAAAACCACAATCGTCTCTCAGTACTAGTATGTGTTCACTGGGCCATTTATCAGAATCAGCACAGGAAACTAAGGAAAGAGAAAAGGAAGGCGGGCAGGGGTTGGAAGGAAGTAGTGGCTCCAGGAAGTTCATAAGCCTAACTACCATCACCAACCCAGAAGAAACAGTTCAAAAGTTAGCAAAAACATAGCAGTGGAGGCCCTTAGTATTTCTAAGCTGTAAACAGATTGGAAAAAAAAAAAAAAAGGAGCTGAAGAAAAGGGAAAATGGATGAGTGAAATGAAAAGGTAAAGAAAAGTCCCTAGTGAGATAATTTTTTAATAAGACACCAGATTCTGAGGCACTATCTAAAACATTTCTTATGCCTTGGGGTGGCCTGAGAAGCTGGGTCCACAAATGGAAGACAGACTGGAGACTTTGGTTCCATTCCCAGGTTCCACACCCTGGTCAACCTGGAAAAGTCATTTCTTGTCTTTAGACTGGTTCCTTTATCTGTACAATAGAGAGAACTGTCTAGTCCACTCCAGGGCTCTTAAGGGACAAAGGAGTGGTCTGTTTTGGGTAAGAAATCTATCTCAGCCCTTCAAATATGAATCAAAACCATCTTTAGAAAATACCAGTAGTGATTGTAATGGCCCATTTCTTTTACATTCTAAAACATAAACCTGGAAGGGAACAAACTCCTACACAACAATTTCCGACTAAGCTACACAGCACAGATATGTGTATGGACACTGAAGAATCAGACATAGCATACCCAAGTCCCTGGGTGAGGGAAAAAAACCAGACAGATAAATACACAGGTGCTGACACAGGTTGACCAAGGCACAAACCAACCAACCTCACACTCGGCCTCATGCAAACACACCTAGAAACATAGTCATGCCCTAGCATGCGAACCACATTGTTTCTCAGGAAAGGGAGTTTACAAAGGAAACAAAAACTCTCTACTCGGCCAGGGGGAGGGCAGAATTCTGGCTCTGAGGATATCCAGCCAATCAAGAGACCCAGTCTCCCCCAGGGAATAGTCACTCAAGTCAACAACCTTTATTAAGGACTCCTCGGTAGTTATTCAAGAAAGGAATTCTGAATGCTATGCTCCGAGTATTTTAGATTTCCTCTTCAGACGCTGCACCTGGGCTCTTTCCCAGAATGACTACAACTATCCAAAGAATCACAAGAGCTGGAGATCCCTTCTGCAAATGCCAGGGAAGGAACCTTTCATCGCTGCCACCTCCACATTTTCTCCAAAGGCACTTAAGAGAGAGTCGGGGTGAGAGGCAGAAGGTCTCTCCGGGTCATTGGAGGATGTTCTAGGTGCATGCGCAACGAATGCCTAGCTAGATGGTTGGACGTGGGGAGGGTCCTGGTATCAGCAGGGGTGACCCGGGATGATGAAAACAGCCCTCCCAGTTATTTTCGGTGTTTGTACAGGAGGGAAGCTCCCTCCCACAGTCTGGGGGTGGGGTCACCGCTCACCGGCATGGGGGAGGGGAGCCTGCCACTCCGAGTCGGGGGAGGGGAAAGCCGAGGGCCTAGTCCAGGGTGGAAAAGTGGACTCCGAGGGCGAGGCAGGCAGGCAGGTTTCCGGACTCCTCCCCTCCCGCGGGCGAGGAGCGTGGGCCGCACCTTGCTCCAACCTCTCCTCCGACCCACCGAGTCCTCCCGAAACTCTGGGAACTTACACAGGACCAGAGATGTGAAGAAAAGTAACTGTCTCCTCCCGGCTTTCGCTTTGGTGCCCATCACGGTGACGATCCCGACGTGACGGGCGCAGCCACACTCCAGGGAACAGGTAGCTTCACGGTCGGCCGCGCGCGGGGACTGAACTCCAATCCCCAGGTTGAGCCCCGCCCGGCTCTTTCCACGCCCAGTGGGCGGTGCCCCGCGACCCAGCGCTCCGATTGGCGAAGGGAGCCGAGACTCGTTAAGTGACTCCCGGAGTGCAGGTGCAATCCGCACATTCCTCCCTCCTGAGTCGGATTGGTGTGGTTCTTTGCTGGAGACATCTCTGATTGGCTCAAAAAACTGTCGCTTAAGAAAGCGAATGCCTCACCTTCGGCAGGTAAGGGCACCCTGATTGGGCGGCAGGTGCTCCCGAAATTATAGGGACTTTCTGACTGGCTGGGCTGTGGAGTTGAGGCTGGAGACCCTCTAGAGCCGGGAGGCAGGAAAAGGTCGTCGGGGGACACGAGATGCAGGGACCTGCTTGGTTACGTTTTATGTTGTTGTTTAGGGTTTTATTATTATTATTATTATTGAATGTAAATTGCTTGGTGCTGCAAAAACTTTGGTGGTCTCATCTTTGTGGTAAACACATTGATATAGTAGGCTGTACGAGAAGGGCTGGGAGAGAAGAAAATTTGACCACCTCAAACTGAGTTCGCTTGTCCTCCCCACCAGCAGCATTCACAGGCTTTGGAAGGGGTATGGGGCGGGGGGAGGCAAGAGGAATGAAGGAGAAGCTAGTGAGGTTCAGTCCAACGTGGCAAAGGCAGAATTATATTATTACATTATATTATCTCAAGAAGAAACAGACACAGAGTACACCCAGATAACAGAAACTGACCTATACAGGCTTATAAACTTCTCTGGGTGACTGTGGATATTTCTTTTACACATATGTATATGAGCTGTCAGTAAGGTCTTACATCTGGATTCGTTTTGGTTTTTGAGACAAGGTCTCACTTTGTAGCTGAGGCTGTCCTCAAATTATTGATCCTCCTGCCTCAGCCTCCTCAGTGCCAGGATACAGGCATGTGCTAGTGGGAGAGAGATGAGGGTTACTTCAAAGAGTTTGGATTAGTTGTTTGTTTTATTGGTTGATTGGTTGGTTGGTGCTGGGAATTGAACCTAGGACCTTGTGCATTCTGGGTAAGCACATTCTAATGCAAGCACTCTACTACTGAGCTATATTCTCAGTCCCAAATCCTTCTGATTTTGAGACAGGTCCAGGGAGACCTTGAACTTCTGATTCTCCTGCTTCAGCCTCCCCAGTTCTGGTATTAAAGGCATGGGTTACCACATTCAATTCAGATTGTTTTTTTTCCTGGCTGTGGCTAATGGTTGAATGTTAAGCTTCCTTTAAATACTACTGATAGCCAAGCTTTCTGTTAATATTGATATTGTTACAGAATTTTAAATTGGATTCATGCTCAGCATCTTTACTACTTTCAGTTTTTGTTTTACAGTGATTTAATTTTAACTGTGCTGAATACATCCAAGTTGCCTTTGGGGAAAAAAAAAAAGAGAGAGAGAGAGAAAGAGTCCTGGTAAGGTGCTGCATGCCTATAATTTTGGCATTCAGGAGGTGGATACAGGAAGATCAGGAGTTCAAGGCTAGTCTTTGCTACACAGTAAGTTAGAAGCCTTCCTGGGCTATATGAAATCCTGTCTCTAACAAAAACAATTAAAAAAAAAAAAAAAAGAAGAAGAAGAAGAAGAAAGGAAAAAAACTAAAGCCCTGGTGGCACATGTCTATAATCCCAGCACTTTTGAAGCAGAGGCAGGAGAATTAGAAGTTTAAGGCCATCCTCGGCAATGTAGCCGAGGCTACATGAGAACCTGTTTCAAAAACAAACCAACAAACAAAAAAGAACTTAGGGTGTTTCCCTAGTGTGGTGGTTATCACACCCGCCTCACAAAAATGGGAACTGGAGAGATGGCTTAGTGGTTAAGGATGTTTATGCCAAGATCATGAGGACTTGAGTTCAGATCCCAGCACCTATGTAACATGCACCCATGTGCACACACACACAAATAAAAGTAAGAATGAAAAGAAAGGCTATCTGAGGGGAAAAGAAAAATCTCATCACAAATAGAAAGCCCTCTCTCATGTCAAAGGATGGTATTTTTTACTTTTTGCCTCTTTTGCCTTTCTTACTAAACATTTCATTTCTTTGTCCATATCTCATGAGCCAGAGTCTCCACTTCTGACTGCATCCAATTTAAAACGGTGTTTATCAAGCACCTACAGAGTGACATAGGGAAATACAGATAACTATGAACCACAATTTTAAAAAATATTTTATTGGCCGGGCATGGTGGCGCATGCCTTTAATCCCAGCACTTGGGAGGCAGAGGCAGGCGGAGCTTTGTGAGTTCGAGGCCAGCCTAGTCTACATAGTGAATTCCGGGACAGCTGGGAATACAAGGAGACCCTGTCTCAAATATATATATATAATTTTCTGTGTATGAGTGTATTGCCTGCTGCATGTGAATTCCAGGACAGCTGGGGCTACAAGGAGACCCTGTCTCATATATATATATAATTTTCTGTGTATGAGTGTATTGCCTGCATGTATGTAAGTGTATCTGTGTCATGCAATGCCCGAAGAGGCATCAGATCCCCTGGAACTGGAGCTACAGGTGGTTGTTAACTACCATGTGGGTGCTAGGAATCAAACCTGGGTCCTCTGCAAGAGCAGTCAGTACTCTTAACTGCTGAGCCATGTCTCCAGCCCATGAACCACAATTTTGACTTCAAGGTTGGCAAGCTATTTCCAAGACTGATACAGTAAACAAGACCGTATGTAACCGGAAAAAGAAACTTTGTATCACTAAACAAAAACAAATATTTGGGTACCTACCAAATACAAAGTTTTGTTCTTTACCCTCAAAGAAATTTGAAGTTCTAAAGTGAGATATAGGGGTTGGAGAGATGGCTCAGTGGTTAAGAGCACTGACTTCTTGCAGAGGACCTGGGTTGGGTTCCCAGCACCCACATGGATGCTAACCACCATCCGTAACCCCAGTTCCAAGGGATCTGACACCCTCTTCTGGCCTCTGTAGGCATTGTATGATACAGGTGTACTTAAATACATTCAGGCAAAACACATAAAATAAATTTTAAAAAATTAAGTGAAAGATATACAGTTTGGGGGTTTATTTGGTTTTGTTATTTTGTTTTTGATGGGGTCAGGGTCTCACTCTAGACCAGGCTGGCCTGCAACTTACTACATAGCTCAAAATGACCTTGAATTCATGATGCCTCAGCCTCATGAGTACCAGGATTACAGTATGAACCACCATACCTGGCTCTTCAATATATGAAAATATTTTTTCAACAAATTTGAGTCTGTCTCCTGGTAACTTTCAGCTATTGTGTCCTGAAATTATACAAAATGCCCAATTGTTCTTTGCCCTTGGCAACTCTTTCTTTTAGGAAAAAAAATGGTATTTATTGTAAGCGCCCTAAATGCTTCCTTCTGCCAGCTGAACATCTTTATATCATACAGGATATCTTCATGTGATACAGTTTCACCAACCATCGCCCCCAAATTAATCTCTCTCCTCTAAATAATCTCTTATGTGTTCCTATACCAAGACTTGAACCAGGTAATAGAGAAGCCATTTCTTCATGAACAAATCTCAGTTCAAACAGTTCCCCCATTTCTAGCTTCCTGTCCCAGGCTAGCTCATATCTCTGAGACATTCTGCATCAGATACAATGATTATAATATCACTTGCCTTACCACAAAATAAGGACTAATAGTATGCTACATGCAACTTGCTTAACACAGGGCCTAGCATATTTTAAGCACTGAAATGTTAGCCATATTCACTTTTTATTTTTGTAGTACTAGAGATTGAATCCAGAGCCCTGTGGATGTTAGGCCTAAATGCTCTATCACTGAGCTATAATCCAGCCCTTTTATTTTATCTTATCTTATCTTATTTATTTGGGTACAGGGTGAGATAGATACTTACTATGCAGCTCAGTGCTACACGGTCCTGGCTCTCACTCTGTAGCCTAGTTTATCCTTGAACTCTAGGTGATCCTCCTGCCTCAGCCTTCCAATACAGACAATCAGCTACCAACCACACTGCTTCAATTTTTTTTTTGACCTGGGATATATACTACACAGCTTTTTATCACTGTCACAAAGTACTTGACACAGGTCACAGCAGTTTACAGAGTTTTGGAGGTGCCCCAAAAGGAATGGTGCCTGCATGAGCTCATTCTTAGTGAGGGTCCTCTCTGGCCTACCTTCAGCCACGGTGGTTGGAATGGCTGCAATGCGTGCAAGAGCAATCACATCCCAAACCAGGATGCGAAAAGAAAATAGTGAAGCTAGGCTTCCTACTTTTATAACATCCTTCCAAGAACTACTAAGCAGTCATGCTACTAAGAATACCTTAATTTCCTTTGAGGGCTCCCAATGACCCAAGGACTTTCTATCAGGTTCCACTTGCATGTGTGCGCAAATCTGAATGCCCATGTCCAGAGGCCACAGAAGAATGTCTGGTGTCCTGCTCTATCATGCTCCACCTTATTCCCTTGAGACCTGGAGCTAGGCTGGCAGCCAGCAAACCCCAACAATCCTCCTGTCTCTACCTACCACAACACTGGGGTTACAGGTACATATGACCAATCCTGGCTTTTGAGGCTGGGTTCTGGGGATTTGAACTCTGGTCCTCATGTTTGGGCAGTAAGTGCTTTCTCCCACTGAGCCATGTCCCCAGCCCAGGCTCCACTTCTATCTTTCTAGATTTCATTATTATTACTGTGTGTGTATATGATGTATGAGTATGGGTGCATGTGCCATGGTGTGAATGTGGAGGTCAAAGGACAACTTTTTGGAGGTGGTCCTCCCACCTTTATGTGGCTTCTGGGGATCAAACTGAGTTGTCAGACTTGCACAGCAGGTACTTTACCCACTAACCCATCTTGCCAGCCCCAGAACCTCTCAGTAGTGCCTCCCTGTGACCAAGTCCACCTTTAGAGATTACCCAAACCAGATCCAAATTGCAGCAGGATGATTGTCTTTTTCTTATCTATTTGTGTTATTTATATAGTAAATGAATTATCCCTCCATGTATGCTATCAATTGAAAATTTCCCCAGTTTGCTGTGTCTTTTGATTTGTGTTGTCTGTGTGCACACATGCGCCGGTGCTTCCATGCACCATGGCCTGGGCTTGTTTGTTTAGACTTTAATCCATCAGCCTTTTTTTATGACTTCTAATTCTGAGTCATAGTTAGGAATGTCTTCATCACTTTAAGATAATGAAAGAATTATTCTTGGTAGTTTCTGTATTTT